GAGGGAGGAGAGAGAGAGAGAGAGAGAGAGAGAGAGAGAGAGAGAGAGAGAGAGAGAGAGAGAGAGAGAGAGAGAGAGAGCACTTCAAGCTTTTGGAGGACAACCACAATACAAATCCACTTAAGAAGAATTAGTCTCTTAAATGATCCAGTAAATGCTCTCAGGACGCCTTGGAATGGTCTCAAAACCCTCTGGGAATTCTTCACACTCTCTAAGGACTGTGGCCGTCCTGTCAGGCCACTGATACGTGAGTCCTGGTCCTATCATCTCATGGATCCGAAGCAATGGCCACAGCACAGGGTCCTCTCATGTGTGGCTCAGTGCCAGGCAGGAAGGGCTGACCACACAGAGGCTGCATGCCCACTCTGCACCAGGCCCAGGTATACCAGTAAGCAACTCGGGCAGAGCGTGTGGTCTAGTGGAGGGAACAGATACGAAATATCCACACCAGCCTGTGAATTGCAAATGCTGAGAGAATCTCTAGTGAGTAAGTACAGACAGTGATGAGATGGTGGGTGGGAAGCAGGCTCTATGCTGAGGTGTGTCTGTTGAATCTCCAGGGAGCTAATGTTAAAGAATAGAGCACCCTTGCCCTCTCTTTGTCCCCTGGATGATCATGGAGAGCATATCTTGGGCTTTCTTCATTCCATAAAGTCTATTTGGTACTGTCCTCAAAGCCTTGAACTCTGCTACTTCCATGGAACCCAGCCCCTAGAGATCTTTCCTAAAGTGTAAAAGTAATTGTTCTCCACACCCACAAGTGGTTTCCTGATATCTGTGCTTTCAGATGATGGAAACCTGGGAACCCTTCTGGCCCCTATTCCTTTGGGATGGTCCCAAACTTCTGGACACAGTCCAAGAAAGAGTCAACTTCAAGAGCTTTTAGGAAGACATGAGTCTTTTTTTTCTTCCAGTGCTCTAGGGGATAGAATCTAGGGCCTTGTACATGCTAGGCAGGCTCTTGGTTTTTTATTTGTTTGTTTTTTATTTGTTTTATTTTTGTTTTTTGAGACAAGGTGTCAGTAGGTAACTCAGGCTGATTGCGAACTCTAGCTCAGGCTAGCCTTGAGCTTGAAACACTTCAGCCTCAGCCTCCTCAGTGCTGGGGCTACAGGTGCATGACAGTTCCAACATGCTCAGATTGACAGTCCTTTGATGTTCTTCTTAGGTTGACCGATAAGCTTCAGACTTGCCTCTGCTCCAAAGATACTCTCACTGGGCTAGACCACTAGATTCAACTTTAATTCCTTTATTTGAATTTCCAAATACTGGAATGTCAGATCACTCCTTCTGAATTTCCATTGCCTTAAACACCACTTCCCTTCTCTTGTGTAACAGTTTTTTTCAAGATTAAAACAATTCATTTTTCAGGAGGCTCCTTAACAGAAAATTAAGCAATTCAAAAATAGCTTCAGGAAGTCCCTGAAACTGAGCAGATTCACTAGACCCCTCCCTGCCAGAGTAAGCAATAAGAACTGAGAATCCCCTTCAGACAGAAGGAAACTCTGGAGAAGACTCTGAGAGCAGGCCAGCTGCCTGTAAGAGGTTTAGACAAGAGTCACTTGGAAAGGACACTGTCCAACCTTTTGAGTTGCCTACAGGCTGTGCAGTGTGCCCCAGGTTCCCAGATTTTGTTAGTTGTCACCTGGGCTGGGATCAGCCTAGATGATGGAGCTGTCTTTGGGTCATTTCTGTTCCTGTAAGTAAACCCAATAAAACTCACTGGTTCACCAAGTTGGACTTTGTAGTATCTGTACTTTGGTCTGTCATGGGATCCCTACCTGGGGTGAGTAGATGTGTGTGTTGTCTTCAATACCTCTTCATAGGCCACGCCTATGGTGAGGCTCAAAGTCATTACCATGGCAAAGAAGGTCCTTTGAAAAGAAACTCCTGTCTCCCTATCTAGCAGAACCTCTCACTCTGGACTGTCCCATCTTCATGCCTTTCCTTGCTGCCCCTCAGCATCACCCTTGTACTTTGTGGCCCAATGCAGACACGACCTTCAAGTTATTCAAGTTACAGTGTACATGGAGAGAGAGACTGGGTCTGGCTCTTGGCTTCTCTACTTCATAACTATCTGATGTCATTCAAGAAACTCATAGAGTCCTAAGCATCCCTATGTCATTTTTGTTGAGGCAGGGTCTCACTATACAACCCAGGCCTATGCATCCATACAATGGGCAGTATCTTTTTTAACCCAGCTTAAAGTGACAAACGGAGTTGAATCCAGGCAAAGAGTTGGGTAGCAGCATTTCAGAATGTGACCAGGCCTTATAGGAGCCACACAGCATGAACTGGAACAAAGTCTTGATGCGAATGCAGAGTGGATTAAACACACCAGGCATGAGGATACTTGTGAAAAGGCATCCTAGGAACTGACGAAATGCAGCACATCTCTTCGTCATCTCTGGACTGTCCAGGAAGGGAGCTGGGGACTTGGGAGGGAGAGAAGGTAGCAAATACAGATGCATAACAGAAGCCAACAGCTGCCCTGGGACACCAACATGCTTTGACTGGAATAGAAGCGTCAGCTCCCGCTAGAGAGGAAAGTGCAGGTTGATGAACTAGCTTTGGCAACGCTTGGTTACCTTGTCCTGCCAATAAAGTCACCAGGATTGAAAAATGGAACCAGCTCCCTCCCTTGTCCTTGTCCTTGGGTGTTCTTTGTGTCTGAGCTCTGTCCTTTCCGCTGCCAAGTTACCTTGGCCGCCCCTCACTCCTGGGTGGTGGAATGCCCATTCCCATGCACTCCTCCCATGCAATGCAGCTGTTCTTTAGTGGGTATTAAAGGTTTGCATGGTGCTGGGACTGAAAATATCTGAATTATAGGGGAGGGGACTGGAACTGATGATGTCTAAATTATAGGGCACGGATTAGAAAGGAAGGGGCCCATCTGGACTCTCATACCAAAGGACAGACACCCGTGAATCTTTGAGGAATAAAAGGGTCAATCTAGTGTACTTATTAAGACAGATAAAGTCTCTGGTAGCTCCAGCATCAAATACGGTCTCTGCTGCCTGGTAGCTTTGTGACCTTGGGCAAAGTAACTTAATCTCCCTGGGCACCAGTGTGCTCATCTGAAAATCTAGGGAAATGATGTATAGCTTACAGAATTTCTTGTAAGGACTAAATAAAGTTATTTGCTTAACACGGTGCCTGGCATTTTGATTGCTTCATAAGTGGTAGCTGCTATTGTTATTAATAATAATAATCCCCCAGCTAATGTTTCCTGCTTTCTCTTGAAACCATGTGGGAAGGCCAAGAATTAGAGCGAAGCAAACAGAAAGGTCACGCCATTGACATTAGCAAGATGCTTACGGCTGAGAAGAAAGTGGGCTCACGTAAGGGATAGGCTTTGTGTGGGAACTCTGGGTGAGAGTCCTGCTTCGAATCCCCTTTGGCATGCCATCAACCAGGGCAGTGGGCATTAGAACGGAGTAGCCCCAGGATTCTCTTGCCCAGCACAGGTTGGGTACTCATGGTGTCTTCCAAAGACTCCAGCTGTGAATCCAGAAGAGAAAGCCAGAAACTGGGCCTGGGTTTTTCTTCTCAAAGGGTCTCTAACCCTCAGTGCAGAAGCCTGGCATGTGTAATACATTTTGTTGCTTAGAAGGAAAGAAGATGAGAGGGTGCGCTAGGAGAAGCAGAGGAGTGGAGGAAAAGAAGGGGGGCGGCTCCGGAAGAGGCCAGCAGGAGCTTGGGGGTCTGGGCCTACACCTGCTGCCTGCTTCTGATGCTTGCCCGGCGAGCACTCCGCATCGTCGGAAGCTTAGCTGCTCGTGTTCCCATCTAAACACTTCTCACCTCACTCAGAGTACACAGCTGGTCCACAGCTCAGCTGTGCAGATCCTGGCAAAGCCTGGGAGCCCCCTCCCCTGCAGCCCCAGGCCTCAGGTGGCAGTGTAGGTAGAAGCTGAGCCCCCCCCCCCCGGCCCGCCCCAGATGCTTCCTGCCTCCCTCCTCCGCTGACCCTGTGGATCTTTTCAGCTGCCTTCTCGGCTCCTCTCCTTGCTTCATTGCCCAAGCAGCTCATTGCTGCGCCGTCCCTCAGGCTTTGGAGCCTTCCGTGGCTTTGCGGCGTGGCCTGTTTCAACCTCTGAAACAGCATTGTTGAAACCTCCTGTACCCACCTGCCTGCTGGTAACGGGCTCTTCCCCCGCCCCGCCCCCATCTGCCCTACCCTCACTACAAGGAACTTCTCCCATCCCTTGGGTGGTTTCCTCTTAGCCCTGAACTAAATCAGAGTATCAGCTCCTCTTCTCTGTGGGCACCTAGACACCCGGGGTAGAAGACTCCTTCCCGAGCCGCCTCCAAATTTAGCCACATTCTTGGACCAGAACATTCTCTATTCCTCATGTCACCCTGTGTCCTTCTCCTCCTGCCAAAGCCTATAAGGAGAATGCTTCTATAATTTCCTGCATTTCTCTGTCTCTCGCATTACAGATAACACAAAAGGAAAGGCTCAAATGCCACCTCCTCCATGAGGCCCTCCCAGAACTCAGCTATCAAAATAACTCCCTTTACTTATAACACTTCAAAGAGTCTCAGGCTTCCTGCATGAGTCAGGCATGTGTCTGCCTGCCCACCCCACCCATCACTAATTTTAGAACAGGGACCCTCTCTTACTCATCCCTGCTTCCCTGGCACCTAACGTGTTGCTTACATCAGGTTGCCAGGCACTCAGCTCCCTTGGAAGATGAAAAGTTGCATTGTTAAAAAAAGATGGTGTTTCGAGCTCCTAATCCCCCAGTGAAAGGACAGTGACCCATCTGCTTTCTTCTCCGGCCTCTGACGCACAAGGGGCATATCCGCTGTACCTGCAATTCCCATCCGCCAACGCGTCTCCGCTTACTGGCTCTTTTCCTATGTAACGCTCGCCTGTGGCTTGCAATTAGTGTGCTGTCAACTAGGACCTCCGCATCTTTTTCATGCCCGTGAATCTGTAGCCGCCCAGTATTCTCATATCCGACACAAGCACACTCACCTGTTATGCACAGATCTTAAGTCATATAGTTTATTTCTCCCTGTTTCGGAAAAATGCAAAGTGAGTCTGCCTCCCTTTCATATGTAATTACCACGAAGCTGTCCCATGTGGGCTAGTGTTCATCCTTTTTCTGTGTCCAGCTCTGTTTTTCCTTGTCAAGGACTTTCAGGTTAAACATCTCAGCACCTTTGCCCCCTCTATCCCCTTTCTCCATCCCCATCAGTCAGCTGATTGCTGGGAATGTTTCAGAACCACACCTCCCATTTCATGTCCAGAGTTGCCATGGTTATCTTCTAGGTCCTCATCCCGTCTTGGTTCAGAGACAGCTCCTAATGAATTCTGGAACAGGAAAGAACACTAGACATCACAATCCAAACATCTTACTTTAGAGGTGGGGAAACTGAGGTTCAGAAGTGAACTAATTTCTCAGTGTTACAGTGACAAACTGAATACCCCAAGACCTCAGGGTCCATGCTTGCCATGTGGAACTCTGTTCCTAGCACCTGTCAAGGGCATGGAACTTAGCAAGCATAGGCATAATGAACAGAACCGGGTTCCGAGCAGGGTCCTCTGGCTTCTGGTCCAGGGCTCTTCATACTTGCCAGTGCTCAGGCTGCCTGGCCCATTTCCAGCCTCCACTCAGCTGAACTGTGCTGAACATCCAGTCAGGGCAGCCCTTGGCAGGCCATCCTCCTGCCTCAGAACTTAATATGGGAGCACACTCCATCTGGAAGAGGATCTTACCACTTCTAAGACTTTATGGACACCAAGTTCTTCCAGGAAAACAAAAACAAAACCAGAAATGTCTATCTGTTGAGGGTGACACAAAGAGAATGGGATTAGACATCCTAAATCCATGAAAATTCAGACATCCTCATGGCAATAGGATCCCAGGTTAGGAAGTGAATGGATTCAATGGGCCAATGGCGAGGGATGAGCACATGCGGGGTGGTGGGTACAGGGCCAGACAGTGGGAGGCAGAGGAGTTAGAACTGGGGAGCCTTCGCCTCGTTCAGGAAGCTGAGACAAGAGTCAGGATCTGTCCCGCAGGAAGTGTGTTCAGAGTATAAGCCCCTGAGAAAGACAGACTGGCCACGCTCAGCTGTCAGATATAGACCAGCAGGTGTTTCACGCAGATGGCGTCTCCGCCGAGCATTTTCCTGTCTGGGTGAGCTGTGCTACCAAAGAAGGACTGTCTCAAAGCCTCCTGGTTTCTTTAGTGGAACAGCCAAGGCCAACACACCTTTACTAGGCTACTGGGGTCGGCATAATATGGTGCTGTAGATGGTGGCTCAGAAGTAGCCATCTAGGGCTAACAAGGTGGCTCAGCAGATACAAGAGCTTGTCACAAAGTCTAAAGACCGGAGTTCAATACCTGGAACCCACATGGTGGAAGGAAAGAACTGACTCCAACACATTGCTCACACTTGGGTGGTTAATTTTCTCCAGCCAACGAACTGAAACAAACATATCTGTTAACAGAACATTGAAAAGTACCTATATGTCTCAATGTCTTGCATACCCAGGTTTGTTAGTCTTATGCCTCTGCCATGCTATGAGAATGCACCTGAGCTAGCCTGCTGGGTATTCATTAGCTCATTCATCTCATTTGTCCCAGTCATTCAAGTCATCAAGTTGAGGCTATCCTAGATCAACCAGTAGCAGGCTAATCTCCCCATAAAGTGAAAAAAACCCTCAGGTCCCCCTTCCAGCTGAGTTCAGCCTAAATCTGGCCCACAGCAAGGTAAGCAAATGCTCTCAGGGTTAAGCTCTGGGGTACTGGGATGGTTGGCTAGCGTGCATCACCTTTCTGTGGCAACAAGAAGCTGGTGAGAGACACAGAGCAAGACAAGCACAGGCAAGAGTCAGCGACTCAAGCTCTGGAACCCGAGGGAGTCAGAGGCCAAGACCCTGACGAGTCCGAGGCTCGAACACCGCCATCAAGGCACCTTCCTCCTTGCCTTGTGTCTCTAACTGCTCCTCAGCTCTGTCCTTCTCCCCTGCTCCAGTCAGTTCTGTGAGCACCTGCCTGACTCTGGCACTAGATTGTATATACCTTGGCGTATCCATCACTGTCTGTCCCCTCCCTATCTCCCACGAGGGAGAGAAACACGCTGTACCGCCAGCCAGAAACCCAGGGTCTTGGGCTGCTCTGCCAACTCTAACTGAGTGACCTTGGGCAGCACCAGCCCCTCTCCGATGCCAGTGATGTGGGGAGGATGGCATCTCCCTCCCCCCAGGGCCCTGAGTAGCCCCAGCTTCTTGCTCCTTTCGGGTGCTGTCCTTGGGCCTCCGCTCTCTGGCCTTTGTCCTTGCCTTCTAGTCTGTATGCAGTTAGTTCCAGCTACGCAAGGGATAGAGCATTAAAAACCTATGCATTTCTGGTGTCATCTATTATCAGCTTCCCCTCATCATCTATTAGAAAGGAACATTCCCCTTATCTTTCTCTTGTTCCCAGTGTATTTTAAAGAATGTTTTTTCTATTTCCTTTTATGTGTTTTGCAGGTCGCATCTCATTTCTTTCTTTGATTTTTCTCTTCTTGTGCTTATAAATTCTAGCGATTTCTTTGTTCTGTTCTTGGGCAATCGGGCCAAGCTTCCTGATTTCTCCTTTCCAACTGGCAGAGCTGTTCTCTCTGCAGCTTTTGTCTGGCCAATGAGATTTGTCCTGTATCACTTAACCCATCTTGTTTCCTGTTGGAATTTTTTTCTTAGCCTTTTAATTAAGTCTTACGCTGGGGAGCTTGCAACCTTGCAACTTGACCAACAGAGTGACCTTGGGAAGGTCACTTTCGCATTGCTCTGCCTCAGTTTGTTCACCTGTGAAATGGGAAGCAACACCTGCCCTTGTTCCCTGCAAAGCTGTTCTGAAGATCTGAAGGGGATATGGTCAAACAACATCTGGTCAGTGGCTGAGAAATGGGTAAGCTTGATCATCTACATTAGAATAATGAGCTCTGCAGACCAGAACTGCCCTGCTGTCCTCAAAAGTCTACAGAGCAGGACCTCTTGCTTTCCTATCCATAGCCCCCCCCACTTCTCCTCAGAAGATGAAAACCACACAGGAAGCCCCCAACCTGACCTATGAGGCTATGTTTCCACTGGGTGTTTGCCTTTTGTTTTTGTCTTTTGATCCTCATTGTCTTTCTTCTAGTGTTTAGGGAGTTCCTTCCTTGCTTCAGGAGACACTGAGTCTGTCCTGTGTGCTTGACCCTCCCCACGGGTGAAGTCATGCAATCCAGGCAGACCCATCAGAGCATGTGCAATGTTGGCCTATGCAGGGGCATTCAACATCTCACCTGCGACCGATGTGTGGGGATAAAGAGAAAGTGATTTTTCATGCTGGTGTTGCAGAGAAAGGGGATTTGTCCTGTATCACTTAACCCATCTTGTTTCCCGTTGGAATTCTTTTCTTAGGAGTATGGGACTCCTAGAAGCCATCTTGCGTCCATGTTCAAAGAAGGATGTCTGGATAAAAAAGGACAGAGACATGATGATAGAGCATGACACCCTTCTCCACAAGGTTCAGCCTGTCTGGAGCCTTGTCTACAGACTTCCAGGTCCCACGGGCTGCTGGCATTTTTGCTTGGACTTACTGAGATAAGGAAACTGTTACCCCACTGAAAGATGTCTGGTGAGCATTCAACACACATCTCAAATAGCCCTAGAATCTCCACTCCCTCTGCCAAGTGTTGTTCCAGGGCCAAGATGGTAAGGAGGCACCTAGAGGAAGAAGAAGAACAAAGGAGCCGACCTTATCCTTCAGAATCCCAACTAACACACATCCTTTCTTCTTCCTCCCCAAGGTGAAAAGAACTCTCATGTAGGATCTTGGAACAAGAGCCTGGGCTTTGGAGGAAAACACCATGGACCTCCATGAGGCTCCACCGTTTATGTCATAGGACCTTAGGCCCATGCCCTCTCTTAGTGGCTATCTTGTGAACTACTGGAAAAAATGTATATATTGATTCTGGTTTGTAGTAGACATTCAATTAATAACAACAGTTATGAAAACTTCCCAGATCTTTCCTTTTATTAGTTTACTATTTTTAAATTTTCATTACCATGTTATTACTACGAAATAATGGGTTCTATTATATCTTCTTATTCACATATAATTTACTTTTATCATATTGGTCACTATTCCTTCTTTCTCTTGGATCCTTTCCCTTTGCCTGCTGGTTCTCATCTTTCTTAATTTGAGTAGACTGAAATTGTCTCTGTGTTTCCTGTTTGTTTCTTCTCTGATTCCAGGTGATATTCAACTTTAAATACTCAGTGATGTCTCCTTCCCCCTGTATCTGGATGCTGCCTGCATGTATAAGGCTCTCAGCAAATGTTTGTGGGATGGATGAAATGGTGAACAGTGAATTGGAAAGAGCCCCAGCCTCATTATAGCTCTACATTCACCACCAAGGAACTGTCTGCGGTTTTCCCTGGAACTGAAGTTCAGAAGTTAGTATGGATGGCCTAACTGACGTCTTCAACTGTTTTGAGTGTATTAGCTGGTCTCTTCAACTTGTAAGCAAACTGTACCGTTTTTATATGTTATTAGTTCTCATTCCTACAGTTATTTAACAACAAAACAGTGTGTGGCCTTATACTAAGAGAGCATCTAAGAGCTTACAGACTCCAAAAATAGATAGATAGATAGATAGATAGAATAGACAGATGATAGATAGATAATAGATAGATAGATAGATAGATGATAGATAGATAATAGATAGATAGACAGACAGATAGATAAAACCAAATGACACAAAAACTTCCCACCACAGATCCTACCACACCTATTTTATTACTATGGAAATGATAATAAAATCACACAATATTGAATGCAGAAAGCTGTTAGAGACTTTAAAAACCATTCTTAGCACCCCATCCCTTCTTTCCCACCATAACTTGCTTAAATAGAAATGCAGAAACCAATTGATGGTCCATTTCTTGCTCAAGGCATGAAAGCACCCGGGCTTTATGTCAAGACTATAGCATCATCTTGTTTCTTTATTTAAGCACCCCCTGCCTTCTTGGTCTCCCAGACTGGCCCAGCTGAAGAACTGGCAAGGAAGTTTGGTCATACACACAGTGTCACCGTTACAGGCCCTAGGGCCACCTCTGGGAAGGATGTGTTACTGATGAACTCATGAAATCCAGGATATCCCAGAATATTCTATCCTCTTTTGTGTCATCCATCTACAATGGCTAATGCCATTTAGTGAGGGAAGGTATGTAAACATTGGGCATTCTCTGCCTCTAAAAGTGACAGATAGGAATCACCTGGTTGTTCCAAAAAAATGGGAACCCAGGTGAGATTTTTTCAAAGATGCTTTAGCCCTAGAGTTATTTTATACTGACACACCTCCCCATCCCATCTTTGTCTTCTATTCTGGCGGAGGTTTCCTGAGGGAGAACTGTGTTTGGAGAGGAAGAAAAGTCAGTGTATGTTTGATAGTCAGCTTATTTGGAGATGTCTCCTTCGCCAGACTCTCAGCTCCTTGAGGACAGAACCCAAGTCCATTTTGTCCACAATGCACCTGTTTCATACCAAACATTCAGTGAATCCTTTTGGAGTGGTGACACGCATAAAAGCAGAAGAGAGAACCTAGAGAGGCGAGTAGGGGGAGGTGTGTCTCTGCTGCATGTCTTTGTCTTGTAGCTAATGGAACTGGATGGATGAGAGGACAGGGCTCCTCAGAGGCTTGTCCTGGGGGGAGCTCATGTGCTCCCTCTCCTTGCCCAAAGGCCAGGGTTGCTTCCCATGATTTCTGATCCAGGGCTGACATCAGTTCTCAGAGGAAGACGCAGTGGGCAGCCAACTCTCTCTCCTTATCCTTGTCCAATCATCTGTAACTGTGACAGATGGCAGCCAGGGAGGGCCGCATGTGAAGAGGGGCAGAAGCAATGAAAAGACCAAGGCAGGGAGAAAGGATCTGCCTCGGGGCTTCAGAACCAGGTCATTTCTGAGTTCTGAATATGTAAGGTGGACAAGCCCTTCCTTGCTCTTCGGGTACAGGCTGAGCTCTCTGTCAACCCACCCTACAGGCTCTGGGGACATGGGTGTTGGAGCAAGTCTGTAGCTATCTATGTGCAAAGCACTGAAGACACGCTGTTTAAACGAGAAGGGGTCGGGACAATGTCTTTGTGAGTACCCAGGAGTGCTATGGGCTCTGCCTGTCTCGGCTAGGCAACTGAAGCCTCCAATATTTGACCTTCAAACTGCTTTATCAGCCTCATGGTCCATTACACTCCCTCTGTGCCTCACAGCATTCCCTTCCTGCCTCCCATGATTTTCCAGGGAATTTGATTAGCAACTTCTGAAATGTGTATGGAGAAGGCAATGGGGGAAAAGAGCCATAACTATCTTGAAATAGAACAAAGAAAAGTTTCTTGTCCCACTACGTGTCAAGACACACTACTAAGCTATATGAATCTAAATAATGTGGTCCTGGCCCTGGTACAGACAAAGAGGGCAGTGAAACAGCCCAGAATCCAGAAACAGGTAAGCCATCGAGGAAATTTGGCTGTGAAAAGGGTTGTTTGTAATTATGGAGGAAAGGAAGGACGATCATACTGTGGTCTTTAGCCATCCACAAGGAGGAAACAGCCAGATCCCTGCCTCACGCCACATAAAATATGTTATGAATGGGTAACATATTTTAAATACCTTTCAATTGCTTTCATTTCTTTAAGCATATACACCCATACCACTCTGCCCTTGCTTACCTTCTGTGTGGGATGATATAATGCTAACAAGATTCCTCTTACAAGCAACTCTTCCCCTGGAGGGCCAGGCTAAACACCTTCCACAGTGAGGCCCTCTCTGGTTTCCCATTGGATTGGAAGTTCTACAATACAACATATATTGTACTTCTTTTTATCTATCCTCAGAATCTGGAAAAGTGCCTGGCAAGCATAAAGGGCTCTGCAAATCTGTGCTGATTAATGGTGGCGATGATGGTGGTGATGGTGGCGATGGTAATGAGGAAGCTTAGCTGAATGCCTTGGGTAATGGGATGGATGACTCATAGTTTGTAAACAAGATCATCATCATCAAGTTCCCTAATTAGACTGAGAGTCAGGAGTTCTAGCTCAGTTACTTCTCTGACATCTATCTATTAATTCCTGATTTAAAATTCAGAACTTAGAGCAACACTTGGCAATCAAGGCCATCCAAAATCTTCAATGTTGTATATGCCGGAAAGTTAAAATGCCACATTTGGAATGAAGATGATGAAATCAGAGAACTGGAGGCTACCAAGGCAAAAATCCTCACTGTGAATCATGAATTACGAAGTATTTGTTGAGCTTACTCTACGTGGTAAACATGAAGATATAAGCCATGATTAAGAATATGAGTTTTGAAAGCAGACATATATGCATCTAAGTTGTAACTCTGCTACTAACTATTCCCATAGCCTTGAAGGAATTATTTTACATTTCAAAATCTGTGTTTCCTCATCTCTAAACTGGAGACAATATAAGATGTCTCTTTTCATAAGGTAGTTATGAGACTCACGTAGAGTTGTGTGTGCAAAATAGTTAGCATTGTGATGAACAGCTAGGAAACACTCAATATATGTTATCACTCTGTGTGTGTGTGTGTGTGTGTGTGTGTGTGTGTGTTAGTTTAAAAAAGAAAAAAAGTAAGCAAGTCCCAACATCTGAATGACAGGCCCAATAGGACCCCGGATTATTACAAAGGACTCTCAATTCTGCATGCAACAAAGAAAAATCCATAGAGTGAACAAATAATGTGTTTTTCATACATCTGTCTTGCTATTTTTCAAATAGATATAAGTGCTCTTGTAATGGGAAGACTATGATCTAAGACAAGAAAAGAATGTCATTGTTCACTTCATCACTTGATATTGTCCCCACTTCTAAGATACCGAAAAATTAATCCAAAGGCAGGGGAAAGTTTTGCTTCTTCTCTTGAGAAAGGCAGGAACATATGCACATGCTGGTGGAGGATTCCAAAAGACTGTTCTCAGCATAAGAATTCTGAGAGGAAATTCCAAAGTTCGGGACTTTCTTGACACTGTGTTTTCTAATAACTCTTTGCTTCTCTCTCCCAGATGGGACCAGCTAGCAGCTAGGATGACTGAGTCCACAACTGCCATCTCTCCTGTTTTCCCACATCTGGGGCAGAAGGAGACCCAGTTGGGGAGGGTCCTGGTAATAGAGACCCAAGGAAAGGTTAAAGGGTCATTTCTTAATAGAGTATAAGGTCTGGAATCGTGCAAGGCAACATTAAGATTGATTTCTCTGCAGAGTGCCTTTTTCGTAAATGCTATCTTTGGGTGTTTAAGTGAATCATCTTTATTTTCAGGAACTTTCTGAAGGAATTTAGCTTGAGTCATTTAAATGTTGAAGCTTCATTTATTGGAACCCCTTTTGGTCTCTGGTGGCCCAACATTTTTGTCTCCTTTTTAGTTATTGCCAATTTTAGATTTCCCAACTAAACCCCG